AAAAAAAAAAAAAGAACCAAATGTAACTTTAAAGTGGATACAATTTGACACAAAATTATTTTGATTTTTGAGGACCATGTCTTAGTTACCAGACAAGCCACAGAATTTTAAAGATGAAATGATTTCCTGTGTGAAATGATCATACCCATCAAAGAAGATTTTTGTGTGCACATGATATAACTCTGTTGAAGAAACTTTAAATGCTGATTAAGCTATATCTTTTATGTTATCATTTTTGGAGAAGGTTTACTGAAAGTGAAATAATTCATGTCTAGTAAATTGAAGTCCTATCTGTGGATCTTTAGAATTCCATATATTTTACCAATTCTCTTCCAAACAAACATGGATCTCATATGTGATCAGTCACATATGCCACTAGTTCAGTAGGAAGTTAGTAATTGACCTTTTTTCCTTACAATGTACCTATAAAATATATTGCTATGCATTATTTATTTAAGAGGCAGGGGAGTTGAATCTCACATATACTGTACTCTATAGAAGTTTCTTAAATTTGATGTGGCTAACAATTGCTAATATTAAGTCTCTGAACTCAGTCTAAACTATGATATCAGAACATTTTTTTCAAAAATAAATTTCGAAAAGATACTCTTTTTCACAAATTATATGTAGGTATGAACATAAAATGGTACATAATATGTTAAATAGTAGTCTCATGTGGATTACAGTATGCTCAAATCCCTATATAAATACCATAACTGGATATGTACAATCCCTTACAGTAATATAGGGAATGAACATTTCCAGAGCCACACAGTATCTTCATGAATGTTTCCAGCACATCCTTTGAGAATCCAGACATTTTTATAGTGTGCACAATAATAAAAAAGTAAATAGTGATGTTTTTCTTGTAATTTCTTTTCATTTGCTATTTATTCATTTATAAATTTATTTATTTACTTATTTATTTATGGTTCTTTTGATTGAACTCTGAACTTTTCATATTTTCTATGCAGGCCCTGCTACAGTTTGAGCCAGCCTCTCTGTATTGGTTATTTTCAATGTAAGGCTGCTGTTCTGCTACCTGTATTTCCCTGTGTTACTGTGATGACAGGTGCACAACAATGATCCCAGACATTGTACTTGTACTTTAGGGAAGAAAATGATCATGTATCACCAGAGCTAAGTGTAGACTGATGCCTGGGCTGGCTTTAAACTGCATTGTTTGCTAGATCATATAACCTGACTAGTTAGTTTACATGCTTGAGACACTATATTCATCTTTCAGATTTCCAGTTATTACTAAATAAAGACTAGCCAGTGGTTCGTGGAACATAGTATTAAACATGTGCTTGATTTTTGATACATTAGCTAACATCAAAGAACATGGCGCATTGGAAACCATGAACATAATTGGGGGCTATGGCAGGTGAAAAAGTGTGGAATATAGAATTTGTTGCTAAGAAGAGAGAACTACAGCAAATGACATTAATGGACCCTTGTACCAAAAGCTACAGTATGAAAATTAGAAATGTGCAATTTAAAAATTCACAAAGCCATCTAGCTGTAAACTATTGGACTAAAAAGAATGAAATAGTTGTTTTGTTTCCTTGATTTTTTAATCTTAAAAAGAAAATTTAATATTCTTGACAAAATGTTTAAGAACAATGATTGCAATATTTCTTCATATAGTCAGTGATTTTTTTTACCAACCAGGGAATTATTTTTTAAAATTAGTTTTAGTATATCCTTCTAGAAAACTTAGGGGAAAAAATCATTCTTGAAAGTTGTATTTTTGCCTGTTTATATGATCCTAAAAGGGATTTTAAGAAATATATAGTATTTTTAACAATTCATTAGCAGGAAAGACAGCAGACTGAGAATGCAATATATTTGAAAATATGAGATGAGAACTGAATAATTTAATTTTCCATTGCTTAAAGACAATATTTACTTCCTCCAACGATTTACATTCCATTTTGTGGTGCTATTCACTAACATCGCACAGTTTATTGACATCTGCATCATATAAAACTCATTATTGGGCTGGGAAGGTGGCTCAGTGGTAGTGTGCTTGCCTTGCATGCCTGAGGTCCTGGGTTCGATTCCTCAGCACCACATAAGCAAAAAGAAAAAAGCTGGAAGTGGCGCTGTGGCTCAAGTAGTAGAGCGCTAACCTTGAGCTGAAGAGATGAGGGACAGTGCCCAGGCCCAGAGTTCAAGCCCGACAGGACCGCCCTCCCCCCAAAAAAACTCATTATTGTGTACAATTTCAGAGCTGTAGAGTTTCTTTTGAAAGAATCAAAGCAACTTATCAGTATTAGCTTAAAGAAATTGTGTTGCCAGGATAAATTCTTCACCAGCTAAGTTGCTCTTTTTAATCAAAATATGCATACATACAGTATTAAAAATTTCACTATAATGCCTGAAGGTAATAAAACTTCATTTGAAGTAAGCATTTTTTAATTGTGCAAGTTTTAATTTACAATTGTACAAAAATGGCACACCTAACAAAAATGTAACTTGAAATAATATTTAGAGAAAATTTTAGGTGTTGTAGGAGAGCAGTGTTTTAATAGTATTCATAGTAAAATAATCTTCAAACATTGATGCAATAATATTGTTAAACATGTAGAAATGGAAAATACACTTGAACTATTTTTACATTCTTTGTTTTTTTAATAAAAAAGCCAAAATGTAGCCTTTGTTTTAGTAATATTATAGCCTAAATCCAGCACAATATTTTTTTTTTATTTAGGAAAGTTTATCTTTAACATGGAATTTTCATTTTTTCCAATCCGTAGAATAAATATGAACAAAATACATATTGTTCAAAATAGTATTTCCAGTAGGTTTAGAGGAGAAAGTTATTTAGTCCTTCGTAAAAGTAAGTTTGTTGTTTTTTTTTTTTGTCGGTCGCGGGGCTTGAACTCGGCTTGGGCGCTATTCCTAAGCTCTTTAGCTCAAAGCGAGCCTCTACCCCTTGAGCCACAGCACTACTTCCGGTTTTCTAGTGGTTTATTGCACATAAGAGTCTCACGGACATTCCTGCCTGGGCTGGCTGTGAACCATGATCCTCAGATCTCAGCTTCCTGAGTAGCTAGGATTATAGGCATGAGCCACCCGCGCCAGGCTTTATTTTTCTTTTTAAATAAAGCTTCGTATGTATATGAATTAGCTATTGCTTTGTTGCTAATAATACATCTTTAACATGAATAAATATAATTACTGGAAAGAAAACTATATATGGATTTTTAAACAACTCTTATTATAAGATGTAATTACAGTCAATATGTATTTAATTTTAAGTGTATTATGATTCCTAATGAACCCTGATTTTTCTAATCAATCGTAATATATTCTTATCTCACTTAGCTTCATATTTATGTCAAGGTTAGCTCTACATCATGTTTATTCAGAATAGACCATAGTGACTAAGATACAACATATGCAGAAGTAATAATTTTCTGTAGTTAAAAAGATAAGTTCTTATACTATTCTATTTGTATCCATTAACAGTTTATGAAGGACCTGCACCTAAAACATACTGTATGAAGGGCAACATTGCTTTATGTACTTAGACACTATCTCTGCATTCATATTATAGAATGTCTCTGACATTAGCACAACTACCTATGCATTTTTATTAGAAATCATAATGTTGTAGTGTGGATAACTAGTGTAGATGGAGATAACATGATTAGGACTTTGTGTTTATTGTTTTAAAAGTATACAATCTTTACTTACTGATAATACCTTTAATATCCAATATCCATCCACATTTGAAGAGAGAAATAAATTGAGGCCTGGAAGCATAACTTACCCATACAGCATATTCCTGGCAAGTACATGTCCCTAAATTCAAGCCCCAGTACTGCCCATCTGAAGATGATGTCATTGGTTCTGACTAATTTTAGTTTAAATCTTAGTATCCATTCAATTTTACTTAACTTTTCAAGTGCAAAAGAGAATTAAAGTAAGATGAAAAAGCTATTGTTAAAGTCTACATGTTTTACTTAAATTCTATGTCCATATTTAAATTATTTTCAAGTTTTCTTATTTATATTTATATAATGTGTTGATACCTAATTATTTAGAGTAATTATTTGTGTTTTTAAAATTATGATTCTTTCCTATCACAAAATTTTGTGACTTTAATTCATATCTAAAGCAAATTATTATTTCTTGGAATGTTAAAAGTCTACTAAGATATATATATACACACATATGTATACATATATATATATATATATATATATACCTTAGCCAGTTTTGCAGTTTCTAAAATTATAAGGAAACAAGGCTGCTCAATACATATTCAAGAAAATAAACTGAAAATAAATTTTCAATTTACAATTTTTAAGAATCCAAGCTCTTTGGAGTTTATGTTCCATAAATTTTATGCCTTTTGTCTGGATTCCAAATGTGAATATCATTCTAAATATATTGTTACACAGACATATGATTGCTGTATATTATTAAAAACCATCAACCAACCTCCCCACATTGGAATTAGAATCTCTATGTCCCAAGAAAGAAAAAAAAACTGCAAATGATTCTAGCATGCACTAAAGCTAAACATGAGGTATATAAAATGATTTCTATAATTAGATGTCATTTATATGTATACAAATAAATAAAAATAAAATTGATGATTAAATAATCACATATGATTATAATGTCATTTATGGAATAATGATTCATCCATGAATGAGTGATGATACATCTATCATGTGTAAATGTATTCATATGTAGAAAATTCTACTGATGCCTCAACAACTGACTACAATAAATTTCATTAAAATTATTTATAGTAACGTTGGTCACTCATTGAAAATACTTTCAAATGGTTCATATAAATTATCCACTTAATTCTGCATGTTCACCTTTTAGGAATGTCATAGCTACATGATTGTTATGGACTAGTATCACTGGTAATTATGATACATAGTAACATAATCTTCCCATGTATGACTATAATAGTTTCAATTAAAATTCAATAAGCCCACTTATTTTGAGGAAACTGAGAAGTTGGCACTTACCAGATTCAGGATCAGAGTTGCCATCTCCTTCAGTGCGGTTGATCGGTGCAGCATGATCGAAGTACTCTTCTTGAGGATAGCCAAGAGGCAGAGCATGAGAGGTGCTGGAAAGGCTGCCTGGCTCATGGTCTCCCAGGCCTCCATCACTGCTGCTTTCCTGAGAGCCCTCTGGTAGGTGAAATGTAACCCGTCGCTGGGACTGGAAGGAAGAAAATTACGAAGTTTCAGCAATAATCTACATAATTGCTTAATGCATCAAGTTTGGCAGCTGTATTATTATCTGGTGAAGTCATATTAACATCTTGAAATTTGAACAATTTCAGGCTTAAGTGAATAATCAGATCTGCGTTCAAACCTGCTGCAACAGGCAGTAGATTTGCTTCTATTTTATTTCTAAACAAGATACATTAGATACAGAATCAAGGTTAACTTGTTTAAAAGCAAGAGGCTGTGGGCCCGTCCCGACCTCTGAGCACATTGGAAATTTTAATTACCATTTGAATGTAGATTTATTTATTAGATAAAAATGATTATTTTTAAAATACTAAACATGAATAAACATAATTATTCTGGTGAGCTGAGACAGTAACACAAATTATTCAATAATGTAGATGTAAAAGTTCAAAATTCCAATAATTTTTAGCATAATTCAATGATTTTTAGCATTTAGCATAATAGTACAAAGTTTGAACAGGAATTCATTTTATATTGCTCTATGAAAGCAAAAGTAGGTACATAGTATGGATATAATTTGATAATGATTTTAAAAACAGATTGTTATCATTGTATGTGATATGATGAGAATATGATTTTAGTGTCTAAAATAAAAAGTTTGTGACATCTAGGAAAGGTGGCATCAAATGCTGCAACATTTTTATCTGCAGTATTGCTGTAGATCGTAGTTACTGTTAAAAGATTGCTTGCTAATGGATTTCATTCTTGGTATTCAGATTTTCCTATAGTTCATACTATTACTAATTTAGGCACACACTGTGTTATCAAACCATACTATTTCTGCCTTGAACTACTAATTCAAAGGAAAGCCAGCTAAATTGAAAAATGGGCAGGTACAAAAGATTACCATGTTGTGAGAAAGCCTAAGATATTTGAAAAGAGTGCATAAAAAGTGAATACAATGTACAGAAAAGCCAGCCATTGCAGGCACTCCATCATAGGTGTCACCAACATATGTGATACTTGGGTGTCAGATATGTCATCACACACCAGTTATGACTCATGGGAGCAACTTTGCAATCTCTATATATTTGAACCACTTCATTTGAGGGACCTGTAAATGTGGAACAAATAGCCATCTTTCTTGCGCACCACCTGAATTCCTGATAAAAAGAAAATAAGAACCTGTAGTTTTAGGTCTCCAAATATAGGGGTGATTTCAATAAAGAATAAATCAAAGCACTAAGCTACTGGCATCATCAAAAAATTAGGATACAGTAAGATATTTATTACACCAAAAATCACTGGAACTTATAGCATGCTATAATAATCTAATCAGTAAATGGACAAGTGAACAGAAAATTCTCAAAAGAAGTACAGAGGGCCAATAAATTCATAAAAAATGTTCCAGGTCCATATCAATAATGAAATACTAGTTAAAAGTACAGACAAACTAGGTGCTAGCTAATCAGGAGGCTGAGAGCTGAGGATAGCAGCTCCAAGTCAGCTTAGGCAGGAAAGTCCTTGAGACTAGTATCCAATTAGGCACCAATAAAGAAAAGGTGAAAGTGGAGCTGTGGTTCAAGTGGTAAAGTGCTAGCTTGGAACAAAAGAGTTCAAGGATACAGCTCAGACACTAAGTTCAAGCCCCAGAACTGACATAAAACAAAACAAATAATAAACCCTCTACACTGGTATTCTCTCTCATTCCCATCCTAATGGCTATCATCAGAGAAATAAACAGTGAAAAGACTGGTAAGTATTTGGGGTAAATAAACCCCTCATGCATTGTTAAGAATAAAAAATAAAACAATCAATCAATATGGAAATCAGCATGGAGGTTCATTGAAAAACTAAAAATAGAGTTTCCATAAAATATGGGTAACATAATTCAGGAAAAAATGGAGACAATTTGAAGACCCATGTTTGTTGCAGCACTTTTCACAGTACCCAAATAGTGGAATTAATCTGCGTGTTCTTCAGCTGATGAGTGGATAAACAAAGCTGTGTATACACAGGACTATTATTCAAAAGAATGAAGTTATATCATCTGTAGAAAAAAAGAGGACATGATATTACTATATTACATAAAATATACTATACTCAGGAATACAAATATTACTTATTTCCTCTCGCATATGGACTCTAGACAATAAAAAAGCATCAAAAGAAAAACCAGATGCCCCTCAGTAGATGTATGGATCAAGAAAATGTATATATACACAATGGAATTCTATGCCTCCATCAGAAAGAATGGCATTGCCCCATTTGTTAGGAAATGGAAAGTCTTGGAAAAAATTATATTAAGTGAAGTAAGCCAGGCGCAAAGAAACATAGGTCCCATAGTTTTCCTTATTTGCAATAACTAGTGCATGCTCTCTACCAGTTGATCCACAGTACCACTTCTGGCCTTTTCTGAGTAGATTATTGGAGATAAGACTATCGTGGACTTTCATGCCCAGACTTGCTTTGAACTGAGTTACTCAGATCTCAGCCTCCTGAGTAGCTAGGTTACAGGCATGAGCTACTGGCATCCAGCTGGTATGAGTATTTTTTTTAACCATTTTACTATACTTGCAAAGCCCTGATAGAAAGGCTAAATTTCAGAACATCTTAACGTTTTGACTGTATGTCCTTAAGAAGCTACAAGTGTGTTTAATTTTAGAGTAAACTTCATTTAATTTCCCAAATTATGTATGGTTAATATATTTTAAGTGCTTTCAGGCACAATATAAAGATTTACACTTGTGAGCCTTTCATAAATTTAAGATCATGAAAAATAAAATGTTAATATCCATTATAGATAAATGCAGTATTTATCTATAATTAGCTATCTCATATAACTTAAATTCAAAAATTGTTAACAAGAATCAAATAAGGATAATTGCTAAGTATAATGAATGAATGCTAAGGGGTATTTTAATTTTGTGTTAATAAATAAAATATGTATTATGGAGACATAAAATTTATATGTACTAAGTATGTATAAATATCGTCTTTTAAATATATTTTATCATAATGTGAAAATATTTAAATATGTAAAAATAATATACACAATAATATGTAATTAGTGGGGGGGAGGGGGGGGATGGGAAGGGATGGGAAGGGGAAACAATGGAGGAAGCTACAATGCTTGATAAGAAATGTATTCATTATCTTGCCCATGTAATTGTAACCCCTCTGTACAGTATTTTCACAATAAAAAATTTAAAAAAATGTACTAAATATGTATAAATATCATCTTTTAAATATATTTTATCATAATGTGAAAATATTTAAATATGTAAAAATAATATACACAATAATATATAATATAGAGTATATCTTAATAAATATTGTCTTCATATATTTATACATATTCTATCTTTCAAGACACTGAAAACTTTACATTTAAATATTAGGATATAATAATAAATATTGCTGAGAAAATCAAATGAGTCTGGCATTCAACACCTACTAGTAAACTATTCAATCCTAACACAAGTTAAATTATAAATGAATAGAATGCAAGGTAAGTGGGTAGCATGTTTTACTTTTAATGTAAAAAAATATAATTTTATATTCACTTGATTACACAAAAATTGGCAAACTAATTTATGTAAAAATGTTATTATTTTACTAAGACACCTGTGCTAGTAAGTTACTAAATGCTATTGCAAAAGAATAACATTACAATGAATTTGTATAGTCTGGCTATGCACTCCCTTTGAACTCTCTTGAAATACATGAACTGAATTTTCTTAGCTATTTGTAAGAGAATGAATGGGTGGATAAGAACGTTTTTAATGCAAAAAAATACTGATTTGTATGGTCCATTTCTGAATGTGCATAAAAACATTGTCACACTATACTTCTAATTCTTTCTTGAAATGCATTCCTTCCAATTGACATTTAGGGGTGTGTGTGTGTGTGTGTGTGTGTGTGTGTGTGTGTGTGTGTGTGTGTGTGTGTGTGTGTGTTTGTTGGGAGGCTTATATAGAGCAGGTGCATTAATAAGCCATCTAGTTTAGTCTAGGTTTAGCAAATATCAGAATGTCCCAACTGTAATAATATATGATGCATTGTTCAGTAATAAGGTTCATGCACAAAGAGGCTAATGTTCAACAATATTTTGGACTTTGATTTCTTTTCATTTCCCACTTTCAAAATTTACAATATAATATTTCTATAAACGAAAGCAGGCTAACAAATATCACCAATTTAATATGATGCTGCATTTCTTTATTCAATAATTTGCAGAATAATTTTACATTTATATTTATGTGATTAATTGCTTTAGAAAATCACTATAAAATATTATTGTAATCGGGCAGCTGTTTCTTTGAGGATTTGTTGTTGGGAGATTTAATTTTTTGAGTTCTAGGTATAATGTAGATATGAGAACCGTTGTATTGCAGGTGAAGATCTTTTCCCAATCCGTGGGCTTTTTATTGATCTTGCTTGCTACGTTCTTTGCCATGCAGAAACTCTGCAGTTTCTTGCAATCCCGTTTGTTGAACCTTTATTGGTTTGTTGTGTTTCGGGTCTTCATTAAGAAAATTTTGACCGGTGCCAAGGAGCCCTAGAGTTTCTCCTATTCCTTCCTGTAATGTTTTCAGGGTGCCTGCTTTGACTTCAAGGTCTTTGATTCATTTGGTGTTGACTCGTGCAGGGTGATATATGGAGATCTAGCTTTAGTTTTCTACAGGTGTTGAACCAATTTGCCAGCACCATTTACTGAAAATTCTGTATTTCATTGATCTTTTCTTAGCTCTCTTATCAAAGATTAGGTGGCTATAGGTCTGTGGGTTCATTTTGAGGATTTCTGTTCTATTCCATTGGTCCTCAGGTCTGTTCTTGTGCCAGTACCAAGCTGTTTTGACTACTATATTTTTGTAGTAGAGTTTGGAGTTTGGTATTGATATTCCTCCAGCAATGTTCTTTCTGCTAAGGATTGTTTTTGCTATTCGGGGTTTTTTATTGTTCCAGATCAATTTTGGGGTTGCTTCTTCTATTTCCTTGAAGAATGAGGTTGGGATATTGATA